TTCCAGGGATCTGCAATCAAATTATAAAACTATTATTGATATATCCTCACTTTCATGATAATAAGAACTTCAAAGGTACAAGTGGGGCTCTCTAACCACGTGATGATGCTTACAAGAGATAACCTTATTTTCAAAATTTCATGACCAAAGCCATGTGCCCTTTAATGAAGATAAAACCCAAAATCTTGACAATATATATACATGCAAAAGTTCTTTCAAACACTTCATCATTGAAGCAAAAGCACATCTCAATTCCCACAGACCATAAAAAACAATCAAAATTCAAAAGCCATATATTTCTTCACATCATTTTTTTTCTTAAAAAAAAAAATACGAGAAAACAAAGTATGGCTATTCGGTTCCATTCATTGATTTCGACTGCTAAGCAATTCTACAAAATACAGTACCTTCTCAATAAAAATCAACCGGACGTGCCGAAAGGCCATCTGGCAGTTTATGTCGGGAAATTTCAAAGGAAAAGGTATGTGGTGCCGATAACGTACCTGAACCACCCGTCATTTCAAGATTTGTTGCATCAAGCGGAGGAAGAATTCGGGTTCAATCATCCAATGGGAGGACTTACAATTCCATGCAGTGAAAATGTGTTCGTTGAACTCACTTCAAGATTGCAGCTGTAAATGATGCAAGAAGAACAACAAAACAGCAATGTCAACAGTTTCGATTTATCTTTTTTCTTTTTTGTTTAGGTTTGGAAAGAAATAGATGTAGGATGTAGATTCACAGATGTAAAAGAAAGAGGTAGAGATTCTTTTTCTTTTCCTCTTTAAGGAAAAGAAAAATTCTTTTGAACAAAGTATGAATTGAATATTTGATCAATTTGATGACCATCTTGCTATTTTGCATTTACTAGCTAGAGATGCTTATATATACATATACAAGTGCCATAATTTGATCTAAATTGTGTATGAAATGATAAGAAAATCCATAAACAGATGGTGTTCAGAGGACAAAAATCAATCCCAACTTTAAATTCTATGATGTCAAGTGATATAAGATACTATGTTCCATTCTAAGCCTGAACCAGAAACACACACACACACAGTTATAAAAGAAAAGTCTAATTTTAACAGTCTGGAAATTAACTAGAAGTTCGAGGATTCCTCTTCATAACAGAGTAGAGAAAATTCATTAGCTAGTTAAAAAGTTGGCAACAAAAATCCGTCATCAGTTGCCTTTCAAATTTGCCTCACTCGTTCTAAGTATTAACTACAAGTATTAACGTCACATTATATCTCATAATAAAGATAAAGCTACAACCAAACGCGCCTGGACCCTATTCTAATACTCACCGACTAAATCTAAGAGGTTTTTGGCTATAGTTGGTATAACTAGCTGATAGCATATCAGTAATTTTCGAGCTTGTAGCTTATAGCTTATGACTTATAGCTGAAAAACTAGCTTATATGATAAAAAATGTTTGATAAAATTAGCTGATAAGCTAGCTGGAATAAAACTTTCAACGGGCTTATTTGAAAAGCTACCCAAAGAAGCTTATCAAATAAGCTCGAGCTTTTTAAAAAAGCTCGTCCTACCAAACGGAACTTATTTGAATACTGAGAGCTTATAAACTAACCAAATAAGCTATAAGCTAGCTTATTTGTCTACCAAACATAGCCTTAAGCAATTTAGTTTTGCAGGATATACATATATATGTGTGTGTGAATTCTAGAAAACAAATGTTACCATCAACAAGAACAGTAACATTAGTGGTGTAAGCAGTGACATATTTAAAAAATAAAATATATGGTTTTTTAATTGTTACCATAAATCTCCTCGAAAGTACCAACAGATATATTAGCTACTTTTACTGTGGAGTCTCACCTTTGAATTGAAATTCCAAATTTATCACTCGTGACCTGAGGTAAGTTGACTTGATACATAAAAAGAGTTTGAATATATCAAAAACAAGGGTCAGATGCAGATAACGTATCCGAGATCAACCTGCATGTAGACTTCCTTAATTATAAAAAAATATTCTCGAAGACTTTGAAAAAGTCCCAGAAAGCTGCAAGCCACTTGCAGGTACAACTTGCTGACGGTGTCCATAAATCTGCAGATAGTTAAACCATCTCTCCTAAAGATCACATTCGTCTTTAACACACAACACATTCAAGCAAAAGACACATAACCATATATCGTTGTCTTCACAAATCCCAGTTTTTAAGGTGTTGATGTTTTGAAACAACCCACAGTGCCCCTTCCTATAATGAGATCATGGGACCAAGTGGGGAGAGTTTTAAAGAGTCCATCAAGACATGGATATTTTCGTAAGATTATTTTTACACATTATTTAAAAGTTAAAATAAAGATAAAAATAAAAATAAATAAATAAAAAAACATAGACTTTTGTTTCAAAACTTGATTTTTGTGATGAAAAGATGTTTTCCACCATAAATGTTAGTTTTGTGCGGGAAACCAAGTTTTTTCCGGACATATTGACTTATATTTTTTTTCTAAATGTTGGTCTTTATTTACTATTTTTCATGAGTTTTTTTTTTTTTT